GACAATGTTCGAACGATGGATGTGCGTGATAAATATTTTTTTTTAGAAAAAATTTGATATAAAACGAGCAACAATATAATCGATAACTAGAATTCGGTTTCGAGAATTCAGAATGTTCAGAGAAGAAGATGGAATAAGAATTTGTGGACGATGAAAGAATACACGTCGAAACGTCTAATTCTTCGATACCACGATCGTTCCTCAAATAGAATAGAACAATAGTAACCCAACGACAATCTGGTCAGGAACGAGCTTGTGAATCCGTTAGTAATACCCACGATCAGGATGGGACCACGATGTTGGAATCAGTGCAACGGCCATTATACCGAGGCAACGAGCTAAAAGAGCCACGGGACGGACATCACTTTCGGCTAGGTACATTCCCGATAAGGTTAGCCGATCTGTTCATTGCCATTGTCGTTGTCGCGCGGAATCGCACTGTTGTAAACTGTTTACAGCCCTCCTGTTCTCCAGTAAGTGCGCGCGCGCGTGCACGCACACAGACAGGGTTTCGATCACACGTGCACGAGGCTTACGGCTGGTCAACGAACACGTCCACCCGGGTGGGACATAGGTCCACCAGGCCATGGATCGGCCATCCGTGGAAAATTCGCGGAGGCGTGATGCTCACTTGATCGTGAACAATTCCATCACGCCCAGATACACCGTGACCCCCCTCTCTCTCTTTTTTCTAAGTAGACAAATAACCCAGACACCTTGATCCTCTTCTCTTTTCCCCTTCGATACAGTTCCTCTCTGTTATCGTTGCTGTGTAATTAACTGCCTCGACGAGGATGTGAAATAAACGAGGACAATCGAAGGATAATGGCGAGGTGTAATTTAGGGTGTGATTACATCGAGTGCCAAGTATCGAGGAAGAAATTTAAAGAGACAATATTGGGAATCGATTACGATACTGTTTATCTTATTGACGCATTTTCCATGCGAGGGAGATTCGAGATGGTGGTGAATTTTAATATGAATTTAGTTAGAAATTGTCGAAGACGGGTTGAGAGAGTTGAGGTATAATCGATATAGTTTTAGGAAAATCATTGAAAGAAAGACTAGCTTTTAGAAAAAGCCAAGTGAAATTGTTAATAGATGAATTGATATGTTATTGTATTATGTATCTTTTTTTTTTAGATAGAAGACAATTCTAGAAGACAGATTCTTGCTTTGTGAACTGATATTAAAAAAGATCATAACGATCATAAAATAATAATAAAAAGAAAATATGTAAAAATTAAAGATATTTCAAAAATAAAGCAAACAAATTTACAATTAATTTTTTTTAAATTAACATACTAAGGAGGGATGTAATTAAACGCAATTTCTTGTTTTATCTGTTCTCCATGCTAATCTTTTTCTTATCGTACAAATCCTTTGATCTAGGCTTCTTATCTATCTCGTCGTCTAAGACTTGTTATATGGATAGCTTTATTGATAAGTTGTCCATTAACAAACTTTAAATGAAAAATCTTTTATTTTTTTACTCTTTCTTTTTTGTATCTATCATTTATAGATTTCAGCTTCAAATGAATACAATGAAAACTTCTGCAATATTTTTAATTCATCTATTGAAATTTTCGATCGCGAATCTTTTAGAACAAATTGTAACAAATATTCAATTTTTCCAAGGAAAATATTTTCCTATACATCCTACACATCCTGATCAGTACTCGAATTACATTGCTGAATAACGCGCATAAACATAACGATGCAGATATATATATATCAATATTACTATACTATCTACGAAGGCTTTTTCTAAAAAGAAAAACGAAGAAAAACGGTACGTATAACACGGTGGAAAACGTAGAATCGGTAGGGCATCGTCGAGAGATTTTTGATTTTATTGCGCGCACGTAGCATCCTCTTGTTTCGCGTGAATCGCATGAACGAAATTTCGTGCTAGTGGCGAAAACCGCCTCTGTCCGCTTCGCCTTTCTCGTTACTTCTGTCGTTTTTATTTAGTCCTTTATCCGTTTGACCATCGCTTTTTCCATTCCTCACGTCTCTGATTTTGACCTCGTTAACCGCAGGTTAGAAGCCAGCGTTTAATATATTTTTTTTATCATTGATGATAAAATATTTTTAACGAAATCAATTTTATTTAAGATCAAAATTTATATATATCAGATATTTTTAACCTATTTTAAAAATATAATTATTTATTTTAAAAATAAAATTTAAAAATATTTGATATATAGGTTTAATAAATTTAATTTTATTTTTTAATAAAATATTAATAAGCTTATTTATAATATATTTCGTAGATATTAATATGATATCGTTTTATTTGGAAAAATTTTTATATAATATAATAAAAAATGATAAAAAAAATAATAAAAGTATTTTTATATTATATTTCATATTTCATTTTTAAAAACGAGAGATTTTGAGATATTAAATGATGACAAAAATAATAAGAATAATAATTGAATAAAAAATAATAGATAAAAACAAAAAATGTTTAAATTATAGAATGCAAAATACAAAAAAATCCTAGATTAAATAAATATAAAATAAATAACAAATATTAATATACAAGAAAATCAAAATATTTATGGTTATATATATTATAAAAAAAAAAATCACTTACCAATATTAGAAAACATGTATCTTATTACTCGTAAATAATATTATAATAAATTAATGCACGACTATATCTTCATTTGATAACGAAGTAATTCGACAGACAAGCGATTATATCGATAATAGCGCAAGTAGTTGCCTGCAAATTTTAAATATTCTATCAATTTTATTATTTTATTAATCTATTACACAAAATAACACTTTTAAATTGATATTTTAATAAATAAAAACTATTTATCAATAAAATTAATAAATATAATTATAAGTTTATATAAATTGATATATTAAATTAATAAAATTATAAAATTAATCAATAACTGTGTAATATTAAAAATTATAAATTTTAATAATATTTCATATTGAGATATTCGTTCGATGTTTACATATGTGTGACTTTACGCGCCGAATTGTATATGATTGGTGGGGCGAGGCACCAGTTACGGTTTAACCATCGTACGGTATAGACGTGTTGAATTTCATAACGAAAATTTTATAATATATAATTACTTACCAATTAATAAACAATTATTATTAAACATCATATTTTCTTGCTTCTTATTTTTGATGGTTTCTATGAATTAATATACCTGAAACAAATTTATTTATTAAATTAGCAATTAAAAAAAAATTGATAAAAAAAAAGTATGTTATATACCGTAATAAAATTGTATAAATTGAATAAAATTGAATTGTTATTATTTGAATCTTCAAAAAGAACAATGAATAATCTATATTTTCTAAAAATTTTGAAAAATAAAAGCAAAAATGTATACTATAAAAATATATAAATCACATTAATCATTATTTACTGAATTAGCAGTTGAAAAAAAAATTGATAGAAAAAAAAGTATGTTGAATGTATATATCGTAATAAAATTGCATAATTATATATATCGTAATAAATTTGCATAAATTGAATGAATTATTATTACTTGAATCTTCAAAAAAAACAACGAATAATTTATATTGAAAATTTTAAAAGATGAAAACAAAAATGTATACCACAAAAATATATAAAACACATTAAATAATTATCTTCGATATCAAGATATAAAAACTAAGTAAAATCACTTCATTTTTTCTAATAATTCACAATTCAACATGTCACATTACAACATTATACATTTTGTCATGATGATTTTTAACAGACAAATGATGCTACGCACCATTATACGGTACAAATTCACCAAACAGTTTTTTGATTGGCTATTGTCATAAACTAGTTCTGCATTCAAAAATCAACAGAAAATCTAAATATTATACAATATATTTAATTCAGAATTCTTATAAGATCAAAAAAAAAGAAAAAATTATTAAAATATTAATATTATAATATCTTATTATAATTAATTTAATATAAAAATAAAAATTTTAAGACAAAATGATAATATAAAATATAATAAATATATAATTAATTTT